CACTCACTCACTCACTCACTCACTCACACACACTCACAGAGCACTGCACTCTCCGCTGATGAATTTTATATTGAATTAGAGATTAACGTTTGTTACGGGGCAGAAGCAAAGTAAACTGCTCGGCAGCTGATGTGTAGATAACTCAATCACCTCAACTAAATGCCAGACTTTGTTGAGAAACATTTAGCTCAGCGAGCACCTGTTAATTCCTGTTTAGCTACACACGACGTATCGATTCGGACATCGATTGCAGCAGGAGTGGGCTGTCAGACAAACTCGTCCTAACAACAGCAGAAAGTTTGAGCTAAACGGGATTAATAGATGGCGCCTGTAAAGGATTTTCTCAAAGCATCCGGTCTTTTTCTGTCTCTCTCAAAGCGTCCATCTTTGCAATGAAAGCGAGAGTAGAGTGGGCTGCATCCTCCAGGCAGCTTAAGCCACTCAATGGATAGATTTGGAAGGCAGGTTTAACATGAACGCCTCGGGCTGTGTGTTTTCCTGCGCTCTTAATCATCTTAACACGTGTTATGACGACCACCGTTAACTTAAGGCTATCTTTAACTCGCCTGCTTCCTCAGAAGACAAGGCTTTACTGAAATTACTCGTGGTAAAAAAATGACAGCACTTAGCGAATTTTATCTAGTGGAAGTGTTTGGTACTGCGCCCAAACAAAATCTTATTGAAAGCTAATTTTTTGTGTGATATCAACCTAAAATTTGGAACAAAACTTTAGATTTATGGTGTCAATTTTCTCACAGTTTTAGAGTAAAACATGTTTGGGAAAATAAATATTTCATTAAAAAATATTTCTGTGCATTGTTCATAATGATAAGCTACTATAACCGTTTTAATTTCACTTTTTAAAGTTGTCGTCTTTAAAAACAGACCAATTTTAAGTCTGCGCTCCAAAGCATTCAAGATTTTAGTTGTAAAATTCATCTTCAGGTCTGTGTTCAAACAGTGGTTTCCAGGTAATAAATGAATCATAGCTATTCCATAGTTATAATTTGGTACCAATAAAATCTCTTAAAAATACAAAATATTAAATAAAAAAAATTATCAAATTAAAATATTGCACATTCATGTCATTGAAAAAAAAATTAATAAATAAATACAATAAATGAATGACACCACAACTTCAAATGCATCTGCACTGCAAGTGATGTATATTTCAGGCACAATATTGTCTAATTTTGCACTATTTCAGCAACAAAAATTGTTTCAAACAAAAACAAAACTCAGAGCAAAGCATGATAAACGAATCTGCGTTTTTTGAACGAATCGGGTGAGTCACTGATTCAATGACTCATTCATAAAGACATTAAATCGCCTGAATGAATCAGCTGCTTTGAACGAATCGATTGAATGAATGATTCAGTGAAAAAGTCAGTGACTTGTCGCCACCTACTGGCGGTTTTAGTTGCATTTTTTTAAGTATTCAGTCATTTTAATCATTTGATATTTCTGTGACTGATCAGAAGGTGCTCCTAAATATTTGACTAATTCTGAACTGTTAAGCACAGTGTCCTGGAAGAGTTAAAGCGAGGCTCTGACGGAGGTGGGATGTGTTTATATAAGCACATCGGATATTTAGAGCAGAATGGGGGGAATTGCTGGTGGAATATTCTAGAGCAGTTGGAGCGTTTGGCCGTGTGCAGATAAGCGGCGTCTTTCATGCGGCGCTGCTGCTTTTCACTCAGGTTTGGATGTTTCCTTCTGAAAGATCACAGAATGAGCATTCGGCTTTTTGTGGCCGCTGGGAAAGTTGTTTATTTCCTGTTTGGGCTGGAAAAATGGGAAACAGACTTGTATGCAAGTTCTGAGTTATGAATGCATTCAGAAATAAAATAAATATCAGTGCAAGGATCGGAAGTTTCAATGCAGTCGTGCAAGAAAAAGTACAAGGGTTGTATGATGGGATCGGCACAGATCTGATTTGTTTGCTAAATTAATAAATGTAAACCTTAATAGAAAGTTCAAAAGAACTGCATTTATTTGAAATAGAAACTTTTGTACTCACGAGTTTCAGCATCTGATGTATTTTTGAAGTGCAAAGACTGAAATTGTATTTTCTTGTAAAAAAAAAAAAAAAATTTATTTTAACTTTTCAGGGTAACGTTATAAATGTTTTTACTGTCACTTATGATCAATTTAATGTCTCCTTGTTAAATAAAAGTATTAATCTCTTAAAAAAACACCAACATTTTTCTCTGCGGTAAGATTAAAATAAAACAAAGATAATCAGAGTATGTTTCACTGTAAAAAAAAAAAAAAAACCTATTTAATTGTGTTAACTGCTGCTTTATTTCTTTGTAATTATTTGTGAAATTTACTAGTAATTTCTTCCAGTAAAATGTTATTTAATTGTGTTAACTGCTGCTTTATTTCTTTGTAATTATTTGTGAAATTTACTAGTAATTTCTTCCAGTAAAATGTTTCTCCAGTTTTTCCCCCCCAGTTTATCTGAATATTTTGCAATAAATATTTTTTCCCAAATCTTGCAGCTGTAAAAGGATTTCACACTCAAAATAAAAAATATAAAAATCATTAAATTAAAAGCAAATCTAAAATTTAAATTTTCAGCATATATTATTATTATTATTATTCATATTATTATTGGCAATTCTTGATAATTTGTTAAATTAAAAATTAATCTAAAATTTAAATTTTCAACTTTATTATTATTATTATTAATTTATTTGATTATTTTATCTTCTATGCAGATTCACTCCAACAAAATCACCCCAGTAAAATTATTAATTCTTACCGAATATAGCTATTAAAGTAACTGGGTGAAAATTCCTGTATTTTTTCTTCTTAGCACTTTATATATTGCCGAAAAACAAAGTATCACAGTTTTTTCCAATAACCTACAGCTTAGTTTGGTTCTTTACTGAAGAGTTTATTAAATCCCTGTGGATAATGACTGAATATATGGTTCAGCATTCATCCGTTATCACATTTCCATCAGCTGGATTTCAGTCAGAAGCTCTTTGAATGACCGTCCAGCAGCACTTAACCAAACACGAGCTCCGTTCGGTGAAAACCCGAGAGCATTGTGGGTCAGAGGAGAGCGATCTCTCCGGGGAGGATGCTGATTGGCGCTGGAGCTCGGCGGAGCGTGTTTCCTTTGATTCGCTCTGAAAGGACCCACACTTGACCTGGGAAAGGCCAGTGAAGTGACCAGAAGCCGGAAAGCTTTATTGCAGGTGGAAATGCTGACGGAAAACAAATGGGCCGTAATCAGAAGAGAGCCGCTTCCCAGCCATTCACAAACTCAGGGAACAATTTCTGCCTTTAACAGAGGAAGGACCCAGCAGCTCTCTCTGGCAGCAGAAATATCTCACTCTCGCATTAAAAGCAGTTTGCGTCGGGGAAGATTGTACATCACAGATGGCGCCCGCTTCATTTCACTTGGCATATTCTGCTGAAGTTATTTTCTTCCTTCCTTCATTTGTTTGTGCCATTATGTTTTTATCAGCTCAAACATGATTCGATCACAACACATATCCATATATCTCTGCTGGTTTTCCTTTGCACCTACTATAGCATCAGTCCTTGCATTGATATTATAGTTATAGTTGAAACAGTGTTATTTTAGCATCGAGAGCTTTCATGTTCATTTTAGTTAAAGTTTTAGCAATTGTATATTTTTTTTTAAATGTCCATATAGTTTTTGTTAATTTGATTTCAGTTTTAGTTATTTAATATATCAAGTTAAACTAAAAGCTGAAAAAAAAGAAATAAAAAAAATATATATTTAAAAAAAATAATAATATTATTGATTCAGAGGGATTGCATTAATGCTGCGAATTTCAATTATAATACATTTATGTTTTTCTACCAAGCTAATTTTCAGCGTGCATTTTTAAAGAAGTTCACCCAAAAATTAGAATTTTCTATAAATGTTCTCACCCTCAGACCCTCAGATTATGATGAGTTTGTTTCTTAAATGTAGCATTGCATCAGTGTCTCAGCAATGGATGCTCTGCAGTGAATGGGTGCCGTCAGAATGAGAGTCCAAACAGCTGATAAAAACATCACAGTAATCCACTCCAGAAGACAAAAGCTGCATTATATAATGCATTCATATGATGATGCTTTTTCTCTATCTGCTTTTTGTACATTTATATGTCCACAAAGCTAATTTCAGCATGCATCGTTAGGTTTATGGGTTCATAAAAACATGCATTTATTATTGTGTGAAATCATATCACATCGCTCTAAATGTGACAGCCGTCTGCTGCTCAAATCAAAGCGATTCACTGTCTCTCGTTCTCTCCGTGCAGCATTGCGGAGGACGGGAGGAAAGATTCAGGCACGTAATGAGAAGAATAACAAGTCGGGAATGAAATTACATGGATCACGCAATGCAATAAGAGCTCTTTCTCTCTTGGAGAGCGTAAATAGGACGCCGCAGGGGTGTGAACAGCACGCCGTCAGAGCTGCAGGTCCGCCGTTAATGACATCCTGCACATTCGCTGCGGCAAATAACCAACTGGCCTTCTGGGTAATTACATCCAGAGAGAGAGGATGCTGACTGTATGCGCAAATA